CCGCCCAGGGCCGCGGCCAATGGGGACACTGCGGGGCGGGCACAAAGGCCAGTTTGGCATAAAAGGAGGCTGCGCTGGTCCGAACCTTCCAGAAGCCCTCACGGCGGCCGCCGCGCCGGAAGGTGCCGGTGTTCGGCAGGGCTTCCCCGGCTTCTCTGTGGGTACCGGCCTTTGGCAGGGTACTTTTCCGCACATTACGGATAAGATAAAAGCTGCAGCAAAGTGTTGCCGAGGAAGTTGGGCGTTTCTGAAAGCGGGGCTTACAAGGGCAAGGAGAGAAAAACCTGACAGAAGACAGAATAAACAGCACTAGCTGGAGAACTTTCAGAGGCGCAAAAGGCAAACCTCCAAAACCCCCGTGACAGCGCAAAAGTTCATTTTTAGAGCTAAAAGGCAGGCAAGGATGAAAGACATGCTGAGGTGTGTTCCCCTGCTCCTGCTGTGCCGCTGTTTGCCCAATTGCCAAGAGGGGCTGTAGGGCAGAAGATTCCATTCTGTGTTTTAGTGCTGCTCTGTTGTCGCTGTCAGCAAATGCCTTGCCACGTGTGTGTCCTGTCCCTCAGGCCACAGAGGATTATTTTATTTTCTGCAACTGCCATATACATGCCTAAAGTTCGTGGTTGTTCTTGTTTCAGTTCTTACTCCTTTTCTGGTTAAAATTCACTTTCTTTTCCCTGAGAAGGAGCCGTTTTCTAGAGCCCTTGCTGCTCTGCAATTCCCTGCTTCCCCCATGCCCTCGCTAATGCTGGGAAGAGCCAGTTGAGGTCACAGGGTTTGGGTGCTGTATTGTAGTTTATGCACAGTATTGTGCAGAATTTTTTTGTTGTTGAAAATGATTCTGAGGTACAGCTTTGAAGCTGCTCTGTCCTTTTTAAATCTGTGTAATAAGAATTGTGTGTAAGATTCTGTCTCTTGCTTTACTCGTGTGCAGTCTCTGAAAGTACTCTGCTGTGATAAATGAGAACTCAATTCCAACCCACTTTCTGGTTGCAGTTTTAATAGGCCAAGACTTTTCAGAACTTGAGAACTTTGTTACACCATTGTTGCATCTCTGAGCTTTAATTCATCTTCTAGTTGCTTCATCAATTTTTTTTGCAAGCTTATGTAAATATGTGTAGCCTTTCCCTAGACAAGTCATTCTAAATTGCCCTTATTTAATGATGGGATAATTGAGTTTTCTGTTTTAACCTGAAAACTCTCTGGCCCTTTTACATAAGTAAGGATCAGGGCGTGTGTCTGGAACCAGAGCAGACAGAGGGTTTTGATGGTTTGGTTTATTACAGTTCAATGCCAGAACAAGTACAAAATTATATATATTATTTCAGAAGTGAAGACAGATAACAGGACGTCTCTTCTTAGACATTATGCCTGTCACCAGCTAACCTCCACTTCAGAAACGATAAAAACAGTGTTGGCAGCTGTTCATGAGTTAGGAGGTGGAGCTGGATGGCCAAAGGGAATGTCA